GGTCATGCTTCCAGCTCCCCAGACAGGCCGAAAGCTGTCTGTCGTAGGAGGGGTGTACAGATGAGCACCAGTTGCCCAGGGGAGCTCTCAGGGTCGAATAGGATAAAATGAGAAACCGATGGACGGGTTGGGCGGAGGCGGGCGGGTAGGAGGGCGGGGACAAGGATTGGGATTCTACTACCGTCGTTTCTCATCTCTTACCCATTGACAGGGCCATGCCGCTCCCTGACCTGAGACCCTGGACCTATCTGCTGCTGGTGGACGCGGCTTTACTGTGGCTGCTGCAAGGCCCTCTGGGGACTTTGCTTCCTCAAGGGCTGCCAGGACTATGGCTGGAGGGGACCCTGCGGCTGGGAGGGCTGTGGGGGCTGCTAAAACTAACAGGGCTACTGGGATTTGTGGGGACCCTTCTGCCCCCACTCTGCCTGGCCACTCCCCTGACTGTCTCCCTGAGAGCCCTGGTCGCGGGGGCCTCACATGCTCCCCCAGCCAGAGTCGCTTCAGCCGCTTGGAGCTGGCTGCTGGCGGGGTATGGGGCCGCGGGGCTCAGCTGGTCACTGTGGGCTGTGCTGAGCCCTCCTGGAGCCCAGGAGGAGGAGGCCCAGGCCAACAACAAAGTCTTGATGTGGAGGCTGCTGAAGCTCTCCAGGCCGGACCTGCCTTTCGTCATTGCCGCTATCTTCTTCCTTGTCCTTGCTGTCTTGGGTGAGTCAGGAGAGGACGTTGTGAGTTGGAGGCGGGAAAAGGGCCTGGGTACCAGCACATTCATGTGCTATTTTTCATGCCTCTTTCAGGTGAGACATTAATCCCTCACTATACTGGTCGTGTGATTGACATCCTGGGAGGTGATTTTGACCCCCATGCCTTTGCCAGTGCCATCTTCCTCATGTGCCTCTTCTCCTTTGGCAGGTAGGTGATGGGCAGCCGGGTCCATTTGCTAGCTCCAAAAACTTGCATGGGTCTTCACTTCCCTAACTCCATTTCTAGGCCCTTTCAGGCACAAAGCACAAAAATACTTAAACTAAAATATGGTGAATCTAGTCACTATTCTCTTTCATCTATCCATTCATTTCTTCATTCCTGTTCATCCAATATCTTCAAAGTTTATCTGATCTTATTATAGGCACAAGTTATGAGTGAAGGTAGTACAAAAGGAATTTAAGTCTCAGATGGAATGTCTCTCAGCTGTTTCTTAACATTCCTAGGCCCATGAAATTCCATGTCTTTCTGCCTCCTGCCTCCTACCCCTGAGTCTGTCTCCAGAGTATCTCTCCAGGGTCACTCTCTCCTCAGGACGGGCATGCGTCTCCCTCTCGCTCTTCTTTCCAAATTCATCTTGCCAGTCCCTGAAGATCTTACTCTGAGGCTTATCACCTTTCTTTCCAGAACCATTACTCTTTTCCCTTCACTTACTTACCCTTCTCTTTCTAGACATACTCAAACAAACAAACTGTTTGATAGGTCTGGGACTGGGATGAGGTGAGTGAGGCACCTGGGGTGCAAAGTTTAAGCAGATGCACCCTCACCTTACCCCAATCCTCACCTGCCTGAATGTCTCTATTTTTATGCTCAGGCTTAATTTAGAATACCCTCAAAAACCACTTCTCCATTGTACCTTCATTCCATCCTGGCTGCTTTCTGCTGAAACTAACTACAGTCATGCATTGCGTAATGATGTTTAGGTCAATGAGGGGCCATATATGAGATGGTGGACCCACAAGATTATAACACCATATTTTTACTGTACTTTTTCTATGTTTCGATACACAAATACCTACCTCTGTGTTACAGTCGCCTACAGTGTTAGGTGCAGTCATATGTTGTACAGATTTGTAGCCTAGGAGCAAGATGCTAAACTGCAGGGCCTAGGTGTGCTGTAGGTGTGACATCTAGGTTTGTGTAAGTACACTGTATGATGTTCGCACAACGGTGAAACCGTCTGATGACACATTTCTCAGAACACATCCCACACCAAAGGCCAAACCCTCAGCATATCATGTCTCATTATTCCAAACGCCTCTTCAATATGGTAACTAAATTTGTATTAGAAACCTATACTTTGTAAAATACCCACTTTTATATTTTTTTCTCTAAGTTTTATTGTAGACATGTAGTTGGTCTAAGAGGAATTCTCCATCTTGAAGGATGAAAGATGGGAACCACATGACTCTGGGGCTCCAGAGAATGGTGGGGATGGGAGCTTATTACTGCAGTTCCAATGATGAAGTATCTATGATGACCGAGAAGGGCTTTGGGTATGGGGCAGGAAGGAGACCAGTGCAGAGGAGACACACAGAGGGGCAAGCCTGAGGGAGGCCAGGACAGAAGCAAGCACTGGGATATTTGTTTTCACAATATCTTTTCACTCTGATTGTAGTCTTCTATTGTGTCTAGTACAGAGTGCACTCCATAAATACTTGTGAATTTGTACATGTTATGATTTTGTTCCCACATCTAGCTCACCATGTCTTCCCTTTCTTCTTCCTCTGTGTATTCCTTACGTCTTCTCTCTCTCATTTCTTTCCCTTTTGCCTCTCCTGGCAAGCTTTCCCCCGACTTTGTGCTTCTCTGCACTCCTGACTTGCTCCTTTGTCTGTTTCACCTGCTGGCTTGCTCCTTCTCTGCACCTCCTTTTCCCCTCACTCTCCTACCCCACAGCTCACTGTCTGCAGGCTGCAGAGGAGGCTTCTTCACCTACACCATGTCTAGAATCAACTTGCGGATCCGGGAGCAGCTTTTCTCCTCCCTACTGCGCCAGGACCTTGGTTTCTTTCAGGAGACTAAGACAGGTGGGGCCTGGAGTCCAGGTCTGGGATTCCCATGGTCATCCTTTGCCCCTCAGTGACCCTCCACCCACAGCCTCTCCTCCTGCCTTCACCCATGTGCCAGGGCCTGGGGATGCTTTTCTCTCTTTTGGGACAGGGTGGAGAAGCAGCCTCCAGTGTCCCTCTCTGCAAGTGAAGGAGGGTGTTCAGAGGAGGGGGGCTGTGTCAGAGGGGATGGTCAGGACGGAGTTTCTGGGAGCCCTGCAGTACATATGGTTTCCTTTCTTTACCTGCTCTGTCCTGCTTAGGGGAGCTGAACTCACGGCTGAGCTCGGATACCACCCTGATGAGTGACTGGCTTCCTTTAAATGCCAATGTGCTCTTGCGAAGCTTGGTGAAAGTGGTGGGGCTGTACGGTTTCATGCTCAGCATATCGCCTCGACTCACCTTCCTTTCTCTGCTGGACATGCCTTTCACAATAGCAGCTGAAAAGGTGTACAACGCCCGCCGTCAGGTGAGTGCGCGTGTAAGGGAACCCCAGGGGAGAATAAAACTGACAGGTGAAGGGGCTTCCACATTTGTGGCTAGAGGATCTTCTAGAGAGAGATGGTCTCTTCACAGCCTTTAGTTGGGGAAGGTATATTGTATGTATATACCACGTCTTGCTTATCCAACCATCCAACAGTGGATATTAGAGTTCAGAAGGCTCACGATTCTCCAGAACTGCAAGCACAAATGTAAAAGTGTGTGAGGGAGTGTGTGGGGGAGGGAGTAGGGAGGGGAGACGATAGGAGATGATAACTTCTCATTAGCTTCTCAGAGAGGAGTCCATACATCCCCCACTCCCACTGCAAAGATTAAAAATGATTTCTTAGAGGGTTTTAGGTAGGGAGTTTTTCCCTTTAAAATCAGCAGAAGTCTGGATGCAGCATAGGGAAAAGAGGTGTCATTGGGAGGTCCTGAGTCTGAATGTCAGCTCCACCTTCTCTTTTTCTCTTATATTGTGGTAAAACATACATAACATAAAATTTACCATTTTAACCATTTGAAGTGTACAGTGCAGTGACATTTAAGAAAGCCACATTGTTATTGGGCAACCATCGTCACCATCCATTTCCAGAACTTTTTTCATCTTCCTGAAATGAAATTCTGTACCCACTAAATAGTTACTCCCTACTACCACCAACCCCTGGCCCCTGACCACCGCCATTCTACCTTCTGTCTCCATGAATTTGATGACTCTGGGTACTGTACATAAGTGGAACCATACAGTATTTGTCTTTTTGTGAGTTATTTTACTGAGCATAATGTCTTCAGGGCTCATCCATATTGTAGCATGTGTTAGAATTTCCTCCATTTTAAGGGTGCATAATAAATAATTCTGTTGTGTGCACATATCACATTTTGCTTATCCATTCATCTGTCAATGGACATTTGCATTGTTTCCACCTTTTGGCTGTTGTGAATTATGCTGCTGTGGACATGAGTGTACAAATACCTGTTTGAGACTCTGCTTTTGGTTCTTTTGCGTATATACTTAGAAGTAGAATTGCTGGATCACATGGCAATTCTGTTTTAAAATTTTTGAGGAACTGTATTGGTCTATTTTTATGCTGCTGATAAAGACTTACCCAAGATCGTGCAGTTTACAAAAGAAAGAGGTTTATTGGACTTATAGTTCCATGTGGCTGGGAAGACCTCATAATCATGGTGGAAGGTGAAAGATGTGTCTCACATGGTAGCAGGCAAGAGAAAAGGGAGCTTGTGCATGGGAACTCCTTTTTAAAACCATCAGATATCGTGAGATTTATTCACTATGACAAGAACAGCAAGGGAAAGACTTGCCCCCATGATTCAATTACCTTTCACAGGGTCCCTCCCAAAACACATGGGAATTCAGGGTGAGATTTGGGTAGGGACACAGCCAGACCATATCAAACCACCATAGTGGCGACACCATTTTAAATTCCCACTAGCGGTGCATAAGGTTTCCAGTTTCTCCACATCCTCACCAACAGTTATCACTTTCTGTTGTCTTTTTTTTTTTTAATAGCCATTCTAATGGTGGTGATTAGGTCATTAGGATTATCTCATTGTGGTTTTAATTTGCATTTCCCTAATGATTGGTAACTGCTGAGCATTTTTTTTTTTTGTATGCTTTTTGGCCATTTTTGCATCTTTTTTGAAAGAATATAAGTTCTTTGCCCATTTTTTGATTTTTTTTTTTGAGTTGTGGGAGTTTGGTATATATTTTGCATATTAATTCCTTATCAGATTTATGATTTGCAAATATTTGCTTGCATTTCATGGTTGCCTTTTCATTTTGTTGACAGAATTCTTTGATGCACAAACGTTTTAAATTTCAATGAAGTCTGATTTATCTGTTTTTTGTTTCCGGTGCTTTTGGTGTCATATCCAAGAAATCGTTGCCAAAGCTAGTGGCATAAGGCTTTTCTCCTACATTTTCTTAGGAGTTTTATAGTGTTTGCTCTTATGCTTAGGCCTCTGATTCATTTGGAATTACATCTCCACCTATCTTAACTATCTGTGGCATCTTGGGAAAACTACCCTTCCTTCCAGATTCAGACACAGGATGGAGGAGATGGGAGAATTACCTCAAATGAAGGTTAAAAAAATTGCATGTATCCCCTATACTACCTAACACTGAGAGCTCCATAATATTTTGTTTCCTCCTTGCTTTTGTTCACTCTTATTCCTTCTGGAAAGAAGAGTAAGGAAGAGGGAAATAAACCGTTTACAGTTTGGTATTTTTAGGTAGACTAGGGAGCATCTCATGGGCTGGAATAAGATGTGGGGGCCTGCTGTCCTCTGCCACATCAGCCCCGGTGTCTGCTGACCCTCTTTTCCAGGCAGTGCTTCGGGAGATCCAGGATGCAGTGGCCAGGGCGGGGCAGATGGTGCGGGAGGCTGTTGGAGGGCTGCAGACTGTTCGCAGTTTTGGGGCCGAGGAGCACGAGGTCTGTCGCTATAAAGAGGCCCTTGAACAATGCCGGCAGCTGTGCTGGCGGAGAGACCAGGAATGCGCCTTGTACCTGCTCTTAAGGAGGGTGAGTGGCTGTGGGAGGAGCCCAGGAAAGGGGGAGGGAAAAGGAAGGGGAAACTACAGCTGGTTCTGGGGTCCTTTGCAGCTCAGTCTCATAGAGGCAGACACGGGGAAAGAATGGGAAGATTCTCAGCCTCGTCTCTTGCTTCTCCTCTCCCAGGTGCTGCACTTGGGGGTGCAGGTGCTGATGCTGAGCTGTGGGCTGCAGCAGATGCTGGCTGGGGAGCTCACCCAGGGCAGCCTGCTTTCCTTTATGATCTACCAGGAGAGCGTGCGGAGCTATGTGCAGGTGAGTGAGACACCCAAGTATGCTCTCCTTTTCTCTCTCTCTTTTTCTCTCGGGCCTTCTGGGCCTTGGGCTTTATTTGATCCTTTTAACAATACAATACAAAACAAAAAAACCCCAAGTAATTTTGTTACGGAGAATTTTAAATATACGCCAAAAATGAGACGAAATAATATTACAAACTCACATGTGTACATCCTGTGCTTTAACAATGATCAACTCATGCCCAATCTTGTTTGATCTGTACCGCCAGCCACTTGCCCCCAACTTGGATTTGCCATTATTCCGAAGCAAATCCAAGATATTATATAGTTTCATCTGTAGATATTTCAGTATGTTTCTTAAAAATATAAACATCTTTAAAAGTATATAACAACAAAGCCATCATTACACCAGAAAATTAACAATAATTCTTAAAATTTGTCAAATACAGTCAGTTGTTAAATTTCCACTTGTGTTATCTATGTAATATATGTGTGTGAATGTGCTTATTATATTTTGCATGAATCAGGATCCAAAAAAGGTCCACATATTGTGATTGGTTGATACATCTTTTAAATCTCTATCTATCTATCTATCTATCTATCTATCTATTTATCTATCTATCTATCTATCAATCATCTATCTATCTAATCTATCTATGTATCCATCCATCTGTCCGTCCATCCATCCATGTATCTTTCTAAAAGTTTTCCCTTGCAAAGTATATTTGTTGAAGAAATGGGTTGCTTGTCCTGTGGAGTTTCTTATGGGCTGGATTTTGTTGACTGAATCCCTGTGGTATTATATGCTCTTCTGCCTCTGTATTTCCTGTCTATTGATAGATAAACCTTGAAACTTGTGAGATTGAGGGTTTTTTTTTTTCTCTTTTCCCAACAACATACTTTTTTAGGTGGTGATGCACTCTTCCGCCAAGAGGCACACAATGTTTGGTTCTTTATTTGTGGCAACATCAGCCCCTGATGAGCAGTACCCAGCTCCATGACGACATAATTAGGGCTGCAAAGGGGAGAGACTCTGTCATTCTTCATGGATTAGCTGAAGTGCATCTATGAAGGGAGACTTCCCCTCATCTGCCATTTCATTACCCAGTGGTACAGTTTGATTAGGAAAAGCAGAGTGAGCATTTAGTTTTCTTCCTACATTTACCAGTTCTCAAAAACAGTTACTTCATCCAGGGCTTTATTTTAACAATTTCCTAGACAGTTGATAAATATATTTTTTGTGTAGAGAACTGCGCTTGGCGCTCTGATGACTACAAAGGCAAATTGGGCACAGTGCCTGCATTTAAGGAGTTCCCCATCTAGTCAAGCAAGACAGAACTGGGCACAAGTAATAGGAAGCAGTAACTGAAAAGGTCTGGGGCTAGAGGCAATGCTATATGGTAGGAGAATGGACTGTATATCCTTTACGTTGCAAATTGGAACACTGGCGTACTGGTGCCACTTTCAAATTCCATCCAAATTGTACATTTAAAGGTGGAGAATCTCTGTGGAATATGGGGGAGGAGCAGTGTGCTTGTGGGTGGAGTGTGAGAAGTTGGGAGGGTGGTTTCTGGTGGGAGTGTGTTTGATTAACTGGCCTTCCCATTCCTGTTTTCCAGACCCTGGTGTACATTTATGGGGATATGCTCAGCAATGTGGGTGCTGCGGAGAAGGTTTTCTCCTACCTGGACCGACAGCCAAATCTGCCCTCACCTGGCACACTGGCCCCCACCACTCTGCAGGGGGTTGTGGAGTTCCAAGACGTCTCCTTTGCATATCCCAATTGCCCCGACAGGCCTGTGCTCAAGGTGCATGAAAGAGGTCACGGGGAGGAAACCTGGACCCTTGCTCTCTGCTGCTAATGTATAATTGGGCATCACAGCCTGTAGATCATTTGCCTCTGAGAAGGGATCTTGCCTCTGCTAGGAAGAGAAACAGAGGGACTTTGAGAAGGGGCAGGCCCTTAACTCTTTTCTGGTTTTCTAGGGGCTGACATTCACCCTACGTCCTGGCGAGGTGACAGCACTGGTGGGACCCAATGGGTCTGGGAAGAGCACAGTGGCTGCCCTACTGCAGAATCTGTACCAGCCCACAGGGGGACAGGTGCTGCTAGATGGAAAGCCCATCTCGCAATATGAACACCGCTACCTGCACAGCCAGGTGGGTGAGGAGGGAGAAGACAGGGACAGGAGAGGGGAGCATGTACAGAGAGGATGGGAGATCCATGGGAAGAAGCACCAGGTGTTCATGCTGAGGGAGGCGGGGTGGGGGGCGGACAAGAGGGCCCCAGCCTTGGGGGTTTACTCATAGTCCCCTGCCCTTGTCCCCTCTGCACAGGTGGTTTCAGTTGGGCAGGAGCCTGTGCTGTTCTCCGGTTCTGTGAAGAGCAACATTACTTATGGGCTGCAGAGCTGCGAAGATGATAAGGTGATGGCGGCTGCCCAGGCTGCCCACGCAGATGACTTCATACAGGAAATGAAGCATGGAATATGCACAGGTATCTTCTGGCAGATTGTAGAACCGCTCCATCAGTAAAAGGAGAAAATTAGACTAACTGTTAGTAGTGAGGGTTGTGTGCCTGTAACTTGATGTTTGCTGTTTCCCGGCCCTTTCCGCCAGACCCCACACCCTGAACGTCATCAAGAGTCTTTGTTCGAAGAGCGCAATGCAGCAGTAGCGCTCCCTCCACGTGGGCAGCCCTGTCAGGTCCCCAGCCCATGGCCCTCCCCACACTCCCGAGGTCCTAGTGGAAGTACCTGGTGTGCACTTGTCTCTTCTTGTGATATGTTGTCTCCGTCACTTGTATCTGAGGAAGGGAATTTCTCTCATTTTCTCAGATGTAGGGGAGAAGGGGAACCAGCTAGCTGTGGGACAGAAACAACGTCTGGCCATTGCCCGGGCCCTCGTGCGAGACCCACGGGTCCTCATCCTGGATGAGGCCACCAGTGCCCTGGATGTGCAGTGCGAGCAGGCGGTGAGCACCGTGAGAAGGGCAGGGGACAGTGGGGCCTGGGAGGGGGCACGCTGGGAGGATCAGCCTGTGCAGAATTGGGCAGAGGGAGGACAAAGGACCCACTACTGGAAAGAGTCTGTGCCTTCTTGGGGTTGGGGAGTGGAACCCGGTGGTGTGAAGGCAGCCCCGATTCCTCCTGGGCTTCCGTTCCTCCAGCTGTGGCAGTACAGCTGGGAGAGAAGGGCAGTCCAGACCTGTATCTACTGCCCTTTCCTACCTTCTTTTATTTCACACCTTCTTTGTCCTAAGTCATAAGAGATGGTGCCCAGGTGGATGTGGTGTCCATTTCCTTCCTGTCTTTCTGAGGCACTGTGATCACCCCTTCAGCTGCAGGACTGGAATTCCCGTGGGGACCGCACGGTGCTGGTGATTGCTCACAGGTTGCAGACAGTTCAGAGCGCCCACCAGATCCTGGTGCTCCAGCAGGGCGAGCTGCAGGAGCTTCCCGAGCTCCAGGAGGGGCAGGACCTCTATTCCCGCCTGGTACAGCAGCGGCTGATGGACTGAGGCCCCAGGGATACTGGGTCCTTCTCAGGGGCGTCTCCAGGACCCAGAGCTGTTCCTGCTTTGAGTTTCCCTAGAGCTGTGTGGCCAGATAGTTGTTCCTGAGCTGCAGGCACGATGGAGATTTGGACCCTATGTTTTTGATGGGGTGGAGGGGTGGGGTGGGGGCAGAGGGGGGGAGAGGTGGGGGGGGATGGGGGACTGTCTGTGTCCAGGAAACTTAATTTCCTGGTGACTAGAGCTTTGCCTAATGTTGAATAGTATTTTGTGGAACAATAAATATATTTTAAAATATTTTCCTTTTTACCTGAACTATATACATTCATACAGAAAATTTAGACAATATAAAAAAGTACCCATTGTTTCACTTGCCGAAGATAACCATAGTTAACTATTTTGTTGTCTGTCCCATTTATCTGTTTGTTTTTGAGATAGAAATTAACCAAAAATGACATAAATATTCATAAGATTGCCATTCTGTATCCTTCCCTGTTCCCACCAGTGTCTGCTATTTTGGGGAAGCTAGGGTATGGAGGGACAGAGAACAGTTCTCTGATTAACAGTATTAATAATGACATTGGTAACAGATACCATTTATAGAGGTTTTTTTTTTTTTTTTTTTTTAGATGGAGTCTTCCTCTGTCACCCAGGCTGGAGTGCAGTGGCACGATCTTGGCTCAGTGCAACTTCTGCCTCCCACGTTCAAGCAATTCTCTTGCCTTGGCCTCCCAAGTATCTGGGATTACAGGTGCATGCCATCATGCCTGGCTAATTTTTTGTATTTTTAGTAGAGACGGGATTTTGCCATGTTGACCAGGCTGGTCTCGAACTCCTGACCTTGTGATCTGCCCACTTTGGCCTCCCAAAGTGCTGGGATTACAGGCGTGAGCCACCACATCCAGCATTTATTGAGTTTTAATGTGAGTAGGAACTATTCTAAATGTTTTTCATGTGTTACCATTTTTATTCATTATCCCCAACCCTATGAGGTTGGTTATTATCCCCATTTGACAGATGAGGAAACTGAAGCTCAAAGAGGCTAAATGACTTTCCCAAGGTGGTCGTAGTGGTGGAGTTGGATTTTGAATAGAGGCCTGACCCTAGAATCCATACCCTGACCCAATAAATTATATTGCATCTTGTGTCCATAAACCCTAATCCATAATCAGATCAAGAAAAGCTCTGCTGCTTTTAGCTCCAAATAATTCTGAATCGATTCCCTTCCCTCCAGGCCCATTGTTAGTCTTCACTCATGGTCTTGAGATGATCCCATCTCCAGAGGTTTCTCTATTATTAGCTCCCCTCTCCCAGCCATTCTTCACAAAGTCATTTTTCTAAATTCTGTGTCACATAGCATGATGGCATTTCTGAAAATTCCTTCAGGTGCTCTTAAGCCTTACTGCTGAGATCCTTTTCAGAGCACACAAAGTGTCCAGCCCATCTGTCTCACCCTTTCCTGTTACGTTCAGCTCCACAACAAATTTCCTGCCCTCCCCAATACCTTTGTGCCTTTGCATATGGTGTTTTCTTGCCCATTTTCTGCTTGACTCGCCCCCGATTTTCAAGTTCCAGACTTAACTCAGGGTTCAGGTCGTCCAGGAAGACTTCCTTATGTCCTCAGTCTGGGGAAAGTGCCGTTTCCATGTGCTTTTATCCCTGTGTGGTTGGCTTTCACAGCCCTTTTCAAACTCTATCCTCCCCTTCCCTGCTTTTCTGACCTTCCACTAGACCATGAGCACCTGGGGGGAAAGCCATATATCTTATTAATCTTTATATCTGCTACCTGGCCGAGGGCCTGATTTATAGTAGGGAATAAATAAAAAGTCTGTTGAACAAATGAATAAATCTCTCCTCCATCATCCTCATTCTTAATCCTTCGTGCACACCCCCACCATTGAAAATGCAGCATCGTACACATCACTGGTTGCTGGGAGGGACTTACCTTGGAAGATTTTTATTCTAGGAAAGAGAAACCTTCATATTCCCGGAAACAGCAGGTACTTTCCAGTGCTGGCAATGGATTCGCCAGAACTGCTGTTTGGAATTTTTATTGCTTGGCAGCTATTGGGAGCAGGGTGGGGTGAGGGCGGGGTGACAGTGGGCAGTTTCTTGAGCAGATTTGCCTCTTTCATCCTGGGCCGACTTGCAGCTCCACACCCATCCATCTCTCAAATTTCACAGAGGGTAAAATGGGCATTTAGAGAGAAAGAACTGGGGCCCGGCCCCTTTCCCTTCCCACAAATGTCATTTATTCGTAAAACAGGAATAATAATTCCTGTATCTCCCAACTTGATGGAAGCTGAAGCTCTCATGGAAGATGATCTGAGAAATTATTTGATTTTCTCACTACAATTACACCCGTGCCTGGAAGGCATCTTAAATATAATGTAACAGCCAAATCTAATTTTACAGAAAAAGGGACCAGAAAGCACACAGCTCATCATGATAAAGCTGGGTGGAAAAATTTTGATGGGCAGCACAGAAGTTGCAGTAGACCTCAAGATATCCTGAGAGTTTCTTATCTCAGGGATAACTCCCAGGTAGGCTTTATGTCAGGGACACAGAAAAATGTTCCCTGACAGTCAGAATATTCAGCCTAGATAGATAGATTCCTGTAAGTGTGGTTTGTCTGGGAACCCCAAATATCACTAATCCTGGTTTGCTCCAGAGCTCTTTTCGTTCCCTCCTGCGCCCCATCACCATTTGATTGATCTCTTTACCCTATAATTTCCCCTTCCTGTCACTTCCCTGCAGTATCTTTTCCACCCAGGCATGCCTTATTCTTTCTAAGGGAAGGTGTGAATGGAGAGGGGAAAGCTTTGGAAACTCATAGATTTCCTTGGACCCCAAAACAACTCCCTATCCTGTCTGCCTGGGACTATGTGGAAACAGCATTGAGTTTCAAGTACTTTATGCCTCCACCCAGTGGGATAGTCACTTGGAATTCACATGGCAATTGTGAAACAAGAGGAGGAAATGTGGAATTGTCAAAATTCGGGGAGGAAAGGACTGGGGAATAGCAATGATCTTCGTTGTGTTTCAGAGCTGAGTAGGCTAAGGGAGCACCTGCTTGAGTCTGATGCCATCTAGTGGTCCCAGGAGATACTAGCTGTCCCAGGAGTTTGATGGACTCTATGGACTCGGGAATTATAATACTGCTCTACCACTATGGACTCTGAGGAATTATACTGCTACTCTACAGGGTACTACTACTAAGCATTGACTGGTGCTTGTGCTAAGTATCCGACATATATCTTCTTACCTTATTTGCAAGACAATTCTATGTGGCAGGTATTACTATCTCAATTCTAAGAATGAGAAAATGGAGTTTTAGGATCATTTACTAACTCGCCTGGGTCACATAGCTAAGGAAAGGTGGACTCTGCCCAGCTTTGCAAACCAGCTTCTCAAAAGAGTTGCCTATACCTCCTGATTCCACTTATCTTCCTACTATCCTCTTTTTAAAAGAAATTATTTATTTATTTATTTAAATAGGCAATATTTTAATGTGGTTTAAAATTCAAAAGACACAAAGAAATATACAGAGGAAAGTCTCACTCTCATCCTTCCCCAAGGTTTGCTAACCCCTCCTGCACAGGCAATCCATGCTTCCAGCTTTGTGTTTTTCTTTCCAGAGAAGTTTACTGTGTATTAAACAAATAAGTATGTCTATATTCGTGCTTCATATTTTTTCAAATAGCAGCTCCCTAAGTTCACTGTTCTGAACTTTACTTTTTAAATTAAAAATATATGGCTATGTAGTATTCTATTGCATGGAAGTTCCATATTTCATTTAGCCTGTTTCCTTCTACTGATGGCTAGTTAGGTTATTGGAAGTCTTTTGCTGCTGCTAGTTAGTCTTGTATAGGCATTGCAATGCACATGTGCAAAAATACGAGTATGATAAAATCTTAAAGGGGAATTGCTGAGTCCAATGTATACATTATGAATATTGATAGATATTGCAAAATTGCCTTCACAGAGGCTACATTAATTTACAGTTTCAGCAGCAATGTATGAGTTTATCCCTTTCTCTCTCTATATATATCTATATCTATACTTTTTTTTTTTTTACCAATACAGAGTGTTAATTTTTAAAATTTTGCCAGTCTTCTGGGTCAAAGTAGCATTGGATTGTAGTTGTCATTTGCTTTTTAATATTACCATGTATGTAATAGAGATACTAAACCCAGAATGATAAAGGAGCAAAGATGAGAAAAATAAACACACATATACACAACAAAAATAAAAAGCTCATCTAAAATATTGGAAAATCAGAATGAGGAATGACATATGACAGTAATGATAAGAAGCACTAATAAAAACGACTGTTAAATTTTTTAAAAAGGCAGGGAAACCACAAATAACACGAGAATGAGGCAGACAAGGTTAAAGCAGTCTAAAGTCTGCCTTGTTTGAAAGGAGGATAGAGATATTGATTACCTTCAGATACTTCC